AAAGAGGTGATATCTCTTTGCTATGTTAACTTCTTTTGACTTGACCTTTTGGAGTGGGTAGGATTTGGACATTTTTGAAAAACTAAATTTATCGAGGGTAACATTTGTTAATAACATTACATAAGTTCCAGGTGTATAATTTTATAATATATCATCTGTATATTGCATTGTGTGCTCATCACCAAAGTCTCCTGCTGTCACCATATTTTTGACCCCCTTTACCTTCTTCATCCTCCCCCTAACCCCCTTCCCCTCTGGTAACCACCATACTGTTGTCTGTATCTATGAGTTTGTTTGTTTTGCTTGCTTGTTTGGTGTTTTCTGTTTTATATCCCACCTGTGAGTGAAATCATATGGTCCTTTTGAGCATGAAGGTCCTTTGTGTTAAGAGATGCCGGTATTTGCATCACAGGCCTGACTACCAGGTTCCTTGGCTTCTGGGCAGAAGTGATTGAGGCCCTGATTGGTAGGGTCCTGTGAAGCAGTTTAGGCACTGACTGGTCCCAGCTGAAATTGGCGGTAGACCTTGACCCTCCCAGGTGGTAAAGAAGGACTCATAGTTTACTCGCAGCTTCTGATGATCAAGGGGCGTAGGGTAATAAAAAGAAGGCAGGTTTTGGAATGGCAGACTTGTGTTTAAAGGAATTCTGCTGCTTCCCGAGCTGTGTGGCCTTGGGCAAGTTTGCCAAATGCTCTGAGCGTTTGGGAAATGGGCTCATTATAATCACAGTAGCAGTAGCAGTGTCGATTTGGTTGTAAGGTGAATTGAGTCCATGGATTGGAAAGGGCTTTGTAAAATCTAAAGTATGATAAAAAAAAAAAATCTCAAGTATGATACAGATGTTGGTTTTTTAAAATTATTATTTAGCCTTGATCTTCCTAGGAAACAGGGTCAGGGAGCTCCGCAGACAGGGAGGAGGGGAACAGTTTATTTTAGTCTCTTTTCCTGCTTGACATTAAGAATAAAGATGAGGCCCCAAATCCAATTTACTCAGAGTTCCGCCGTGGAGGGACGCAAGCCATGGAAGACTAAGTCCCCAGCACCAGGGAGCTTCAGAGGTTGCTGGGCTGCTTGGCATAAAGAACTCTGCTCCCAATTAAGGAGGGAGGGTGCCTGGGAAGAGGCTGTGGCCTCAAGCAAAGAAGAATGAATGTTTATTTACCTTTGCTTATGATTTGACAGAATTGCAATTCGAACAACTAGAAATGTCCTTAAAGTCATAAAGTGTTGCTCATACTAATGAGTATGGCACCGGCTCCTGTAAATTTGTCCCAGGGGTGGGCAGCTGTTTGTCTTGCACAGATCCTAGGAGTAGCCTAGCCCATGCTGGCCTGGGGAGGATGGCAGCCTGAGGGAGTTGGCTGTGCAAAGCAGAGCTGAGTGCTAATGGGGGTGGAGGGGAGGTAGGAGACAGTAAAACAGAGGAATGGCACAGACCTTGGCCTTGGAGCTCACTGAGGGCTGGAAACAGGCAGGGCAGCCCCATCTGTCTGACTTCTCTGTCCAGGTTCAGGCCATGGCAGAAGTCTCAGGGACCAGGCTGTGGTCTTGGTAGTAAGTGGGGCTGCCCTGGGCTATGGGGTTTGGAGAAAGGGGGAAAAGGTGCCCTAGTTTCAGGTGAAGGGGTTGGTATAAGCGGATGAGGCCCCACCATGGTCAAGTGTCAGGTGCATGAAAACAGGGCAAGGAGGGGCTTGGAGAGGATGTGTGCTCTCAGGGACCTGGAAGATGGGGCACTAGGAGAGCTGAGAGGCTTTCCCACAGACCCCACACCAGGGACCTGGAGCCTTTTACAAGGGAATCATGACCCTGAGGAAGTAAGTCATCAAGGGTACAGTGTCAGCCATCAACACTTTGATAATTGGCATGAGCTGACCCAGAATGGAGGCAGCATCAAGGGGTGTAGAATCTTCTGGAAAGACGTCCTGGTCTAGGAGTGCTTTGAGCTTTGAGTTGCATCTTAGGAGGTAACTCTGGATTGGCAGGTAGAGGTAGTCTAAGACTCCAGGGGTCATGGGCTGACTCCACCACAGCAGCCATCTTGCTCTACCTCTGTGTGTGTGTGTGTGTGTGTGTGTGTGTGTTGTGTACACATAGATACCCAAGGCCAAAGAATTAAGTTTTTACGTCTCATTTGTCTGAGCTACCAGAGAGCCTCTTCATGTGTAGGAAGGTGAGGGGCACAGTGAGAGGTGCTGAAAATACCTAACACTTGCAGAATCCTTACTATGTGCTGGGCACCGTCCTAAGCATCAACTCATTTATCTTCACGACAATCTTCATCATAAGGTTATAGACATAAGTATTATGTGTGGGCATATAAACACGCAGCAACAGAAACCCAAACAAATACACTTGGGTTCACCTCACAGTTGTACATTTGTACATGGAAACACACAGCTGCAGACACAAATGGAAGTACACATGCAGATGTGCTTAAATAAACCTGGATGCAAACTAACATACACACAGAGATGTATGTGGACATCTTATGCTGGGGGCAGGAATGGGGTTTGGGGAAATGAACTTAGAAAAGGGGTGTAGACCACAACAAAGACAATTTGGCTACCTTCACAGGGTTTATACTCTTAAATACACATAATTTTATAGACAAGGGAAAAGAGACTCAGAGAGGTGAATGACTTCCCCAAGGTCATACAGCCACTAAGGGATAGATCTGAGATTTAAGAGGCGGTCAGTTTCCTGAAGCTCTTACTTTAAATACTCACCAAAAAGGCTGTAAATCCTGCTAGACAGGGGCTTTCTCTGTGGCATGAGTTGTGCTTGCTCGGCCCGATGCCAGCTGGACCTGGCAACTGGTGGGTCTGGCTTGCAGTGAGGTGGGATGGACTGGGCTGTATCTGGAGATCCAGGCATGAGAGCTGGAAGCTGAGTTGAGTGGCTGCTCTCTGGCTGGGGGCCCTTTGCCCCACAGCACTGAGCCTCTCCCTTCTCTCCCCAGAGCCTATACCCTCAGCGGGCAGCCAGGATGCCCTTTCAGCAGGCCCTGCACCCCCAGCTGGGGTGTTATTCCCGACAGGTGAGTAAATGACCTCCTCACCTCTGTCCCAGCTCTACGAAGGCCTTCAGGTTAGAAGGACAGCTTCTCCATTGTCCTGGTCACCAGGAATAGTTTCTGGCCTACCCTGGGCCCAGCGTATACACAAATACCCACGTGTGTGTAGAAACAGTGTCCCTAGGTGATGATAACGGCTGGCACTTACAGAAGCTTTCCTGTGTGCCAGGCCTTTCTCTAACATCTTTACCTGCATTAACTAACGTAACCTTTACAACCACCCTAGGAGGTAGGTTAGAGATGAGGAAACTGAGGCACAGAGAGATTAAATAACTTTCTCAAGGTCATAACATTAACATATAAGTTAGCTTTTGCTGTGGCAATAAACGTCCTCAATATCTCATAGACTTCCAACAATAAACATTTATTTTTCTCTCACAGTCTATGGATTGGCTGAGCTGGGCTGGGATTGGGTTCAAGCCTGTCCCATGTGTTCTTTTGGGCCTGTGCTGAAGGTACAGTAGGTTTTGCTCCTGCCGTGGTGGATGGCAGGAGTGTGGGAGGGGTAAGCAGAAGCACCACATGCCTCGGGAGCCTCAGCTCAGAGCTGGTACCCGGTAATGTGTGCCCGCCCTTCACTGGCCAAAGCAAATCACACGGCTTTGCCAAGCATCAGTGGGACAGGGGAATCCTCTTTCTTCCCTAGCAGTTTATCAGTCAAAATACAAGATTAAATACCAGTTAAATTTAAATTTTAGATAAACGATGAATAAAATTTGGGTATAAATATGTTTTCAAATATTTCATGGGACATACTTACACTAAAAAATATTTGCCGTTAATTAATCCATTTGGGATTAAGTTATATGAAATTCAAATTTAACTGAGAACCTGTATTTTTGTTTGCTAAATCTGGCACCCCTACTCCCATGGGAATGTCGGGGGTGAATATCTCCTTGACAATTTCACGATGGCAGAACAGGGGTTCGATCTTAGGCAGCCTGGCTTCAGGGTCCATGATCCCAGTCGCAATGGTTTACTGCCTCTTACACACAGATACACAAAAATACAGTCCCAAAATAAAGCAGAAGGACAAAAATACAAACAGAAACAAAGATACAGTTACATACATGCCACCAAGCTGCGCTGCGCAGGCGCACACGAAACACAGAGAAGCATGCTCAGAGTTATCGAGTATCTCCGGGTGGGGATGGGGTGTGAGGAAAGACGCTGAGAACTTATTAATCCTCAGGCTGGCCTTGTCCCCTCACACCCCAAACTCCCGACTCTTCAGCCTCTCTTCTCTCCCCAGGGAGCCCCATTCTTTCTCTGCAAACCACACCTCTGACCTGAAGTATATGAGGATGTTCCAGAGGGTAAAGAAGGGACCATGGGTACAGGTTACTTTATTGCGTGGGCCACGACTGCTGCTTTTTCAGCAGTGGGAGCTTTGCATCTTGATATGAAGGAGAAAAGACTGATAGTCTGGCTCACAGAATCCCAGCCACGTCATCTCCACCCCATGGACAATGATATCGTTCCACCTAGCTCCAAAGAGAATGATTTTAGACAAAGTTATGTATGTATATACATTTGAAAAAGTAATATAAGAACATGGTACAAATCGAATCTCAGAGGCAGTCATTGTTACCGGTTTCTTAGGTATCCTTGTAGTGATGTCTATTTATGTTAATGTTTTTGTACAAGTGTGGCATTCTGGGAACACTTTTCTATCACTGCTTTTGTCAGCAAAGTCTATTTTGAAGATGGTTCCAGAGCAATACACACAGCTCTGTTTTATGGTTTTTATCAGTTACATGTAGTGACATGCACATTTTTGAATAAAGCGTGTTGTATAAGCTTTAGAACCCGAATCTTCTCTTTCAAATCAGTCCTTCTCTCAGGTCTTCCCTCCCTCCGCCACTGTGGAAACCTGGGGTATTTTCTGCCACACCGGCCCACAGGCATCTGTCCTGGAAAAGTGGTTTTCTGGGCTCTCTCTATAAGCTCTTGGCAACTCCTGACCTTTAGCTCGTCATTTTGAGGTTTTGGTGCCTATGTTCAGCATCACTAAATTCTATGTCCACTGGGAAAAATATGGGCGTGCCTGGAGGGAGGGGCTCAGGCTTCCAGAGGGAGCAAGCACAGGGTTGCCGTATAGGCGCACATGCTCTGAGCTCACCCCGCTGGGGTTTTGGTTGCAACTCAGACACTGAAAGACTTACTAAGCAAGCCGCTTAATTCTCTGAACCTCAGTTTCCTCATCTCTAAAATGGGGATACTAATGGTCCTACCTCACAGGGCCGTTTGGAGTTTAAATGAGAGAATGCATACGAAGGGCCCGGCACACCCTAAGCACTCAATAAGTGCTAGCTTCCGTGAATTTTGTATTAGATAAGGATGTACAGGGAGAGAGAGGGCCATCAGCTTGCTGAATCACTGAGCAGCGTGACCCCCGGACTCTTGCTGTTAAAGTGGAATCCAGAAGCTTCCCCAGTTTTGACTAACTAGCCCCAGCATGCAGGAGGATGGGCCTCAGCTCCACACAGGCAAGGATTCTGCAACATTTGGAGCTGTCAGAGGTGGAATCCAGTGCTCGTAATGTAATGAGCTCCTTGTCATTTTATATTCCAGTAGACACTTAATGGTCTCTTCTTTCCTCCCTCTTCTTCTCTCTTTCTTTCTTGCATTCATTCATTAACATGTTTATTGAGCAGCTACTGTGCGCCAGGCACTGTCTTAGGGCTGCGAATATATTAGTAAATAAGACAAATGGGATTCCTGCCTTGTCGGGGGCATGATAGTGGGAGCCCTGGCTCTTGCTGGGGTGTCTGATCCAAGCAGTCTCTGAAACCGCACTGAGTTCCTATTTTTCTCTAGAGTTTGAACCGAATCCCACTGTCCTTTTTTGCCCTTTCTCCTAGACTCACATTGTCCAATACCATAACCACTAGCCATGTGTGGCTATTTAAATCTAAATCGATTAAAATTAAGTAAAACTCAAAATTCAGTTCCTCATTCACACCAGCCACCTTTCAAGTGCTAAATGGCTGCATGTGGCTGGTGGCCCCCATGTCGGGAGGTGCAGATACAGAGCATTCCCACCGCCCATCACAGAACTTTCCGCTGGGCCTGCCCTGGACTTAAAATCTGTTGAGATCTTGAGATAGAGGCCAGGGATGTTTAAATCTGGACAGTTTAAATTGAGATAGCAAAAGACTTAAAAATAAATGTGGGGCTTTGAGGATGGTCATGACAGAGGGAAAGGTAGGGAGGCAGGGAAGAGAGCGGAAATAATATTTGTTCGCTATTTATTAAGTGCCAGTCTCTTTATATCAGCTGACTCAGACCCCATATAATGGAGATAGCATTTGCCCATTTTACAGATGAGGAAACTGAGGCCCAGTTAAATTCAGTCATTTGCCAATCTCATGTACAGTTGTTGAGTCCGGTGGTTTTTCCATTCTAACACATTGCCTTCTATGTACCCCACAGCAATAGAGGGGTACAAGGCTAAGGGGTGGGGCTGGGCTTAGGGTTCGGGTTGGGCAACCATAATGCTTGAAAGCGGTGGGCTCTGCCAAACCTCTCCCCTCTCTCCCCTCTGACCTGCAGGTGACGCCATACAATCCACAGCAGATGGGACAGCAGATTTTCCGCTCCTCCTACACTCCCCTGCTGAGCTACATCCCATTTGTCCAGCCCAACTACCCGTACCCTCAGAGGACACCTCCCAAGCTGTCCACTAACCCCCGAGACCCTTCCCCCATGGCAGGAGATGGGCCGCAGTTCCTCTTCCCCCAGCCATACGGGTGAGTCCTCAGCCCACACCGGAAGTCCAACTTGTGCCCAAAGGGCTGGTGGAGAGGAGAGACGAGTGTGCTGGGCTTCACTACTGTGGGGAGCGGAGGGCCCCATGCTTGTGTCTGGAGGCCGTTTGGGTCCTGGATGGATCCAGTGTGGAAGTGGGCAGGCAGGGTCTAGGCCTGATGGGCCCCTTTTGTTGGCCTGTACTGGGGCCGGGGCCTGACAGTCTGCTTGCAGAAACGCAGTGGCGCAGTCAGGAGTGAATGGCACTCCATCACAGCAGGTGGCAGGTGGTGAAGCACGACACATTTGCCTTCACCCATCTGCTTGCTTCATAACAGGACATGGCCAGGTAATTTTAAAGCTCTCCTCTGACTCACTGCACCCTGAGCTCCTTGCCAGGCTAATCTCCCGAACATCCCATTGACGTTGTGGCAGGCCCTGCTGAAGGACCTTCTACTGCTTATCAGGGCTGCTCGTGCTTTTCCATCAAAGTAGCCCAAAGAGCTGAGGAGAAGGGCTGAGCAGCAAATAGCCAACACAAACTTGACATTTGAGCTGAAAAGTCCACGCAAATTTTACGCGCCGGTTATAAGTTTGTGTTTGTTGTTTTAATATAACAACGTAGAGCTGCTCATTCCTACCTACCAAATCTTTAATCTACTAACAATGCTCCGAGAGGCAGGTAGTGCTGTGTCGTCCCGTGAATCTGAGTCTCCGGGCACATCCTGGGTCACGTGTGCCCCAATTTGAGAAACTTGGTTTGTATAATTAGGGCCAAACATGCTGACCTGACATCAATTCCCCTCCTTCCCGCCTCCCCACCACAGAGCCTCACTGTACTGTTGACATGTGCCCCCAAACTCTCATCCTTTCAATCAGCGTTTCCCCAAGTGTCTCATTTAAAGGGATAAATGCTAGAAAGAGGTTTCTGTAGTCAGATCTTTTTGGGAAAAGCTGTGAAAAACAAAAATAAACACATTTCTTAACTGTTGGAATTTTCAGATCATTTCATTTCCAAGGGTACTCAGAGACTGTCCAAGACGGTGGTCGATAGCGTTATCTGAACATAAAACCCACAAACCCACTTTTCTCCTGCTTTGTTTTGTTCCTCTTTTCCTCCCTCCCTTCTTCCCTCTTTTCCTCCTTCCCCCTTTTCTCTTCCCTTTTCTTGTAGGGCATTTCATGGTGTGTTCCACCCAACACACCCTGGGAAGCACTGTATTCATTTGTGTAGTTCGTATGAATTTAGCCTGTCCAGGGGCCATAGATGATTAGGACATGTTTCCTCCCTTCAGAGAGCTGAGAGTGGGTGAGATGTGGGCACGATGATATGAGAGCCGTGACAAAGTGAAGACCATCAAAGTAGCCCAAGGACAGAGGGCGGACAGTGAGGGGACTGCAGGATGGGGAGGTTCCAGTGAGTAGCGATTGCAGACGGGCCTCCCAGGTGGTGGGAGTGAGGCCCCAGCTGGGACGGTGCAGGGCAAGCTCGAGGTCTGGAGAATAAACATCGGGTTGAATTATTAGATTTATCCCTGAAAAAGGTGGAAAATAGGATTGAAAAAAGAAGGTTGGGACTGGATTATTAAATAAGGCTTCTGACTACTAGGCCTGGGGATCCAACGCAGCCTTGTCCACATGAAAGTGAATTATGGGCCGGAGGGAAAAGAAAGAGGAGGCCAGAGAGCATAGTCTGGAGGTGACTGTGAGGGTCCGTACGAGAAGTTCTTGCCTTCCTGGAGGTGACAGGAGATGAGAGTGCAGAGGGATCCAGACAGACTACCTGCAGGCCAGCAACTTCCCACATTCCATCCTGGGACTCTGGGCTCCAGGGAAGAGAGACTCAGTGCAGAAGCTCGAACTGGCTGTACTCGGGAGAGAGCGTGGTCCTGAGGTCTCATCAGTCAGCAGTTGGGAAGCCCTGATGGGGACCGGTAAGAGCGGAGGGTTGAAACCTGGTCTTTGGCTGTCTGCGGGCGCAAGAAAAGGAAGAGGAAAAGGAACAAGGAGGAGACCGAGGAAAGCAGCCTCAAACGTGGGAGGGAGCTTGGGGACAGCTGGAGATCACAGGCGAAGGAGGAGAGTGACGGAGCAGTAGCAATCAGCAAGGGTGGGACGGTGGCCAGAGAGGTTGGGAAGACCAGGAAATGAGGTCAGAAAAGTGAGGCAAGGGGTGCAGGCCTGTGTCCCCAAAAGGGATGATTTGTTGATTCAGAAAATACTTATCCAGCACCTTCTATACGCCCAGCATTGTTTTAGGCACTGGTTACTGGAGTGAACAAGACAAAATTCTTCTTCTCTCATTCCAGAGGAGAAATAGACAATAAGGAAATAAACAAGCAACATGCGTGCCAGGTGCCGGAGGAAAAGGAGGCAGGAATGAAGGGAAGTCTCTTGAGCTGAGATCTAAATGAAGTGAGAGAATGAACCAGGCATATATGTGGGCGATGAGCACTCTGGGCAGAAAGAATAGAAAGTGCAGTGGCCCGAGATAGTAAATGTAGCTGGAGCACAGGGGTGGGCGGAATTGAAATCAGAGGAGTAGCCAGGGCCAGACTAGCTAGGGCTTGGTAGGCATGGTACAGAGGTTTTTTTTTTAACAGCAGTGGGAAGCCATTAAGACTTTCAAACTGGTGAGGACATGTTCTAATTTTCTATTTGGAGAAGATGACATTGGCTAAGGGGTGAAGAGTGAACTGTGGGGTCAGAGCTGACCCAGGAGAGGAAGATAGGAGCCTTGATAGCTCTCTGAGCAGGTGGTGCCTGTGGCGTGGACTAAGGCAGTGACCATGGGAAAGAGGGCAACTGACAGACCTGGAGTGTTTATTGTCTTGGCAGAATTGACAGGACTTGGTGATGGTTGGATGTGGAATGAGAAAGAGAGGAATCAAGCATGGTTCCGAGGTTTTTGACTTGAATGACTGGATAAGTGGCAATAACAAATTACCAAGGTCAAGAAGACTACAGCAAAGATCTATTAATTAAAATTTTGGTTTTGGGATACATAAAATTTGAGATGCCTGTTAGACGTGTGAATGGAGCTGTTGAGAGGCAGATGGACATACAAGTCTGGGGCTCAGGGCAGAGTTTGGGGCTGGTAATATAAATCTGGGAGTCATTAGCATATAGATGATATGTAAAGGCATGGGGTGAAATGAGCCCTGGGCCTCCAGCATGTGGAGAGGTTGGGGAGATGAGGAAGAACCAGCAAAGGGTCTAAGAAGGAACATTATGAAGTGTGAGAAACAAATATGAGTGTAGAGTTCAGGAAGCCAGGTGAAGAAATTATTTCCTGGAGGAGAGGAGGGATCACAGGGTGATGAAAAGAGAACCTGGACCCTGTCGGATGGAAGGCAGGGAGCACTGAGCACAGCGGTGGCATTGGGTGGGGTGGGTTACCAGTGGTGCTAGATGGAGCAAGGTCCAGGAGAGGCTGGTCTGCACAGGGAAGGAGAGTTTAGTCCAGGAGACAAGGAAGGTCAGTGCTTCATCTGGGTCAGGAGCAAAGGAGAGAGTCAAGAGACTATATATGAAGTGGGAGAGGAAGGAGCAGGGTAGCCCTCCCTCCCCTCTACCAAATCAATTTGCATACATTCATCAGGGTAAGATAGCCATACAATTGATTTTCTAAACAATAATACGTTTAAGAGTTAAAAGGAGCACAGATAATAATTACACTGGAGATACCAGTATAGGAACATCCCGCACAAACCAGGACAGGTCACCATGCTCAAGAGGCAGTTCAAGCTCCTCCTCCTTCCTCCTGGAAACATTCTTTGATAACTCTAGTCCACATGGATTACCCCTCTTCTCGGCCCTCTTACGTACGTCCTGTCCAGACCATGCCCTTGACAGTTGATCTGATCAGAAGTTCTCATCCCGAAGGGCTTAGAGACATGGGGTGTGGTAATCAGATACAAGGTGTGTTCTGAGTAATTTGTTACTGGGCATTATTAAATATGAAGTATGGGTTATGGCCTTTATTTTATAAAGCAAAGTGGAATCCAGAGTATCCCTATAGTAACATCACTTTCAATCGTTTATATTCCAGTACCGTTTTTGAAAGAGAGAAAAAGAGGTGGGGTTACTGTTGGCATTAATTGCTTATCAGGCACCTACCTCATGCCAGGTCCTGGCCTGGATGCTGGGTGTAAAATGGTGGACAGTCCAGATAATGTCCTTGCTTTCATGGAATCTATTTTAGTGAGCAGGGACTCAAACATAACCCAAAGCCTAAGCTTATTCACAGACACTCAGCAAGCAACAGATACTGATACCAGCTGAGGCATTACAAATTAACGTGATGGTTTGTTCCCTGTGCTTCTTCCCTCCCCTGTCCCCTTTTTTTGTTTCATGAGTTAATGGGAGGGTGCCGTGAATGTGAACATCTGTAATATGCATATCTGCACAGTTGAAAAGTGATGGAAAAATCCCTGGATTAGACTAAATCTAGCTATTTGCTCTGCTGCAATTTGTACCGAGCTCTGCTCCCATTCATTCAAAGTATCCTAGCAGATGGGTGACGAAATCGTAATAGGATCCCAAAGGTATGAGTAAATGATTCCATCTGGAGAGGTCAGGGAAGGCTTCACAGACGAGATGGCTTTTGAACTCTCTTTTGAAGTATGAATAGGAGTGTGTGAGGGAGAAAAAGTGGAAGTGTGCGTATTTCTGCTCCTGGAGGTCAAGGCTCAGATCTTGACCCTTCCTTCCCTGAGGGTCTAGCAAAGTCCCAGGCACTCAGTGATGTCTCAGCGCTTACTTCTCAGGCTGGCACTGAGAGAAGAGTCCGACTTAGCTTGGTGAGGATAAGAGGAGGACCCGTGGGAGTGTCCGGACTCAGATCTCACGCTGGGACACGCCCCTGGGTTCTCTGATGTTGTGGAATTTCCTGAGGGGCACACCTGGTCCTCTAAGGTAGGTAGAGTGGCCACAGGCCCACAAGTAAGGCGCTCAGTCCAGACAGGCTCCCTGCTCTGTGTTCCTGGACTTGGTGAGAGTGTAGGCCCCAGAGAAATAATCCCTACAGGCTGCCGGGGGCTTCCCGACCTAAGTAAGTGGCAGAAAAAGCTCTTTATTGTCCTCCAGTTGTATGATTCTAATATTTTATTTTCCCAGAGCCAAACCTTTTTTGTTTTTTTTTTAATTTTTTTTTTTATGCTGGAGCTTTTAGCCTGCAAGCCTGTCATGATCTTCATAGACTTTGACAGCTACAAAATTAAAATATAACTTTTTCTAATATCTCTGCT